GTCCAACTTAGAGTTAAGTTTGACATAGAATCTTTGTGAAACACTGCCCTGGACTCTCAAGTCTCATTCACATTTTGATGATTAAACTGCATTATAGAACTATAAATCACTTTAAATACTTCAGGTAATAAATCGCATCAGAATTTACTAGAAGTATCAGACTACAAGGAGTGCCTTAGCCCACAGATCGATTAGATATGTACTGTAGGTCCTGACATTTGGAATGCTTTGCCACTTGAAATACGAACTTGTAATAATCTTTTGCTATTTAAAAAGAAGCTGAAGGATTTATTTCTCTCCAAATATGCTTCTTAACCTTTGAGGTACAGTATGATAGTGCTTTTTTGTCAAGGAGAGGTAATGATGTGTATTCCCTTGTTTTTGCTTGTTATTCAAATATGTTGAGGGGCATGATTTTTTTTTTTTTAAAGCAATTATTTTGTATTTTGTTTTATTTTTGTAATGACAGAATTTCTTATATTCTATCTAAACCTAATAATTACCAGCTATGTTTAGGGACGTTGCGCTTCAATCATTTTTCGTTTATGCACTGTTCCTACTTTGAGTTTGTAACCCACTGAATTTGTTAATATCTGTAAACAATTATTTTACATGGTGAGTAAATAAAATAAACAAAACTTGCATCGATCTTTAGTAGAATACCTTGAAACTGTGGATGCCAATGGGTAACAAATCTTGGTGAATGACCGAAATAAATAAAACTTTACCCCACAACTCCCATGTTTAAACAAATACTGTATGAACTTGTACATTGCCACTAGCATCTAGACTTAGAGGTAGCTCTGTAACCGATTATTGGATCGGGGGCCGATCTTGAGCCGATCAGAGGTGTGGAGTTCAAGTATCTAGACTGTGGAACACAGGTTATCGGGTTTGAAATAAATACAGCACTAACATCCTTCCTTTGCCAACACATTATTCTACATTTGCCACACTTGACCCAGGTGAGGTAAATTGGTAACTGGCAGGAATTAATTAATTGAAATGCTAGTGTCATATTTGACATATTAGCAGCTATGATATTAAAGGTAATGCAAAGTTTTGGGAAATTTTGAAAAATGGGTGGATAGCGATTCTTTACAATATTGATATATTTGGATGCCCCTATGAATGTATTATAAGCACTAGAAAATTTAGCTCCTAAAACACTTCTGCTTTCGAGAAAAATTGAATATTAAAATTTACCGGTGCTCCCAGTAAATTTTGATAAATTTCAAATAACGCCTACAGCCGTACAATAGTAGCTGCGACCATGAAAATCTCAAAATATGTAGATATGATATATAATTTCCAAACGGGAATAGCTAATCGGTCAATTTTGGTGGAGAAACATTGTTTTATAGCTTAATTAATATTTTGACCTTGAGAGGGAGCTATACAACATAAAGAGTTTATTATTTACAATTTCATAACTCTCTCTGAAGTCTGAACTGATGTCTATGTGAGTAACTTCAGGTACAGAGCATGACTGCATGTAGGTAAAACAACTTTCTTGTATACTTTAAAATTGAGAGATACACGTAGAGTGTACATGTACAGTGTAGATTGTCAGTCAATTTACATGTTCTTAAAGGGAAAGTCCACCCCCAAAATAAGTTTGTTTCGATAGAGGCAAAATAATAAGAAAATCAGGTGAGTGAAAGTTTGAGCAAATTCTGAATGAAAATAAGAAAGTTATGAATTATTGAAGTTGTGATCAATCAAATACAAATTGGCAACTCTGTGACTTATTATACGAGCTCTCCTTCATTTGCTTTGTGCATAATATTCCATAAAATCATGTTTTCTTCGTTATTGATGACGGAATATATATTTGTTCCTTGCAGGGGGAGTATAGAAACATATTTGCAATTATTATATTTAGGGTGCATGTATGGTTGAAATTTTTCTTGAGGGAAAATGAAAATTTTAGATTTTTTTAGTACTGAGCAAATGGAAGTTGAGCTCGCATGATACGTCATAGAGTTGCCAATTTGTGTTTGATTGATCACAACTTCAAAAATCCTAACTTCCTTATTTTTAATCGGAATTTGCTCAAACTTTCACTGACTCGTTTCTCTCATTTTTCTACTCCTATTAAAACTAACTTAATTTCAGGGTGGACTTCCCCTTTAAAGTGCAATCCAAAAAGTCACACTGGAGGGTCAGTGTAGTCACGAGGCCAAGATTACATATCTGGGACCTGTTTCACAAAGCCCCTTTTCAATGACAAATGACAAAAATCGGTGACAAATCTGCTGATAACCAATCAGAATCAAGGATTTTAGTAGCTTATAACAACAACTGTCATTTGTCACTGATTGCAAGTTTTGTGAAACACCCCCCTGGAGTGTCCCAAGGCAGTGCTCTCGGCCCGCTGCTTTTCCTCATATACATGTACATCAATGACCTACTAGACAGTGTCAAACGCTCAACCATACGCATCAGATCAGTCCAAGATTAAATCTTAAGGAAGATCTTGACAGGTTGCAGGAGTGGGAGAGAAAGTGGCGGATGGAACTCCACCCTTCCAAGTGCCAGACTTTGAGAGTCACCAACAAGAGGAAACATATCCTAGGCCTGTATAACATCCACGGGCACGACCTAGAACTAGTGAGTTCCGCCAAGTATTTTGGAATGAACATCGATCATAAGCTCATCAGTCAAGAAGACTAATTCTGTGACCGCCTGCTTGCGACGGAACTTCAAGCACTGTAGACGGCGGATCAAGCAGGCCACGTACTTCAAATACATGTACGTCCGACCAGTGGTGGAATATGCTGCAACAGCATGGGAACCACACACACAGTGGAACGTTGACAGTCTTCAAAATACTGAAGGGCTTAGTAAGGCTGGATCCAAGTCACTTCTTCACTTTATCACTCAATACTCGAACCAGAGGACAATCTCTAAAGATTTTCAAGGAAAGGTCTCGTCTAAAAATAAGGAAATGCTTTTTCAGCAACAGAGTGGTGTCTGACTGGAATAGTCTCCCTCAAGAAATAATTGACTCAAACTCCATAGATATCTTCAAGATGAGACTGGATAAGCACCGGTGGTCTGAGCGATTCGAATTGAGTTGTGTAGGTATTGTCTGTTGTTTCATGTTTTACACAACCTCCTCCCTCCACAAATCGCAGTTACCTGGAAGAATCCTAGATCGATGAACAGACTTAGACCTACAACATCGTGTATTCAAGTAAAGTAAAGTAAGTAATTTAATAAGATCAAAACCGTCCCAACTCTGCGCATACATGTGCAATAAGTTAACTCTAGAACATAACCAACCCTGAAGAAGTGACCAAGGATTACAGGATCTACCTCTCCTCGTATCATGATGATGATGATGATGAGGATTGAAATGGTCCAACAAAGGTGTGCACGCTATGTCACAGGTGACTTTGATCAAACATCCAGTGTACAGCAATGCTTGAAAATCTGAATTGGCCATTGTTACTCACCAGACGCCTTCACATCCGCCTTGCTATGCTGTATCGCATCCGTTTCAACCTTGTCGACGTTACCTACAGGTAGCAGCACTTTCTCACTGAACTGACATCAACAACAAGAGGACATGGATCTCTTTTTAGGACATTCCACTGCAGTAGTCAGACCTACAGTATGCTTCTTCCTTCTTCCCAAGAACCTGTAAGGACTGGAACAACCTCCCACAGGACCCAGCCCAATACCCCTCTCTTGATGCCTTTAAGGTCTTCTTGAGTGGGATGCAGATGTAATGTCTACAAGACCGGGAATGTGTTTACTTACACATGTATATATCCACCTGCACAACAAGAACAAAAAGTTAAAGTGTGGAATAACAGGATATGTGAAAGTCTCCTCATATATACACACACAATCAGTTCCTTCATCTTCATCACCTTGAAGCAGCACTTAAATTGGAAGAACTAAATTATAACAATTTCTTTTGAATGAAAGAAGAAAAATCAGAAAACAGAATGGCGAAAGGTTGAAATAAATGGGACCAATAATAAGACAGTTACATGTACCATGTATGAATCATTGAAAGTTTGAAATATGAGATCACTACAGCTATGCGAATCTTAAATTGGCAATTTTGTCTATGTGACGTAGTGACAGATTACTCTCCCATTTGCCGTGTACAAAAATATCACTAATTTCTGTTTTTAAGTGCCTTCACCCTTGGGGCACTGCTCAAAATATATTATTCAACTTACTGATGTTAGAAAGAATACTTTAAAAATTCAAATCGCGAGTCTACTACTGTCAAACTTGCTGATCAGCCACTTCGTATTCATTGTGTGCAATGTGTGTATTGTGTACAGTTGCTGCCTCTCAGCAAGTATACAGCGCTAGAGGTCAATACGCATTAGCATCGAGTCTATGCTTTGCTGGAGTGGACATATACATGTCAGTGTGTTATGTAAGATTTTGTATGGTCAGACCCATTGCATTCTCTGCTTAAGTGGGACCTCTCTCACTTAAAAGTTAAAGTCAAATCCAATTGAGAGGAATGGCCAATGGAAGCTTGTTAACTCACATCACTGTACAGCGCTCAGTGCGTTAAGTTCCATGTGCTAGATCTCAATAACTTTGACAAGTTTGTGTAGAAGTCAGGGGGTCACATTCCCAAATTGTATTGAAATAAGCGCATTGGTCAGTCATTGCTAATTCTTGGTTTTTTTGGAGTATGTGTGCCAACACCAACAGCATGCGGCACCCGCTAGGCGTTACTTCTCAGCGCGGCGTGCAATAGAGTTAGAATCGAGCCTTTCGAGGGGAGTCACACGAGTAAAAAACTGATTTAACCTGTGTTTTGAGGAGAGTAATTATCATTTCCAACCTTGTTACTATTACATGTAAAAGTGGCAGTGAGAATTCAATATTATTAAGTAAGAGTGAGATTGATATTGAAAATGATAGTCTAGATGTCTAGTCTAGATCTAGGCCTATGCTATGGTCTAACTTAGTTACATCATGAATTTACTGAAACTTGAAATTTGATATTGAAAGGATACACTTTGAAACCTTTTAAAATGTCCTCCGCTCTGCTGGGCATCTTGAAAGTTTGTTGGAATTATCTTGTAAAGTGGAAAAATAAAATTTCTAGACCAAAGGTCGAATATGCCCCTTCAAAATCACTCTAAACAGCAATGAACTCCAACTTCGAAGGGACCGGCGAATCCGGGCCACAACACAGGCGCAGGCTAGGGATAGACACAGGGATGGACACAGCCACAGCACAGGTCAGGTCGATTCTCAAAATCCACGACGGGTCCTCTCGATCAGCCGACGAAAACATGCGGATAAAAGAAGCGAATAATGGTGATTCTTCCACATAGAAATAATCAGCAATATCTTATGCTAGATCCGTCTAAAAAGGTAGATGTAAGCAATCACTTTGGTTCATATCCTTGTTTTAAAATGAGAAACACGTCCAAAATCCGAAGAGATTACAACTTGCTAGCTTATCTCATACATTCGAGGATCACTTCCGATATGCCCGTAGCAATCTCTAACCTTAATTCATTACATTGCACGTAAGTCTACGGCTTTCGCGGACACAAATCGTGTGAAGCTAGCAGCCAGCTTCATCATGCAGCGTCAATGTCACCGGGTAACAGCCGCATCACTCTAAACTATATCGATCCGCCTTTAGTGACATGTGTTTTTTTTCAAAATTTAAGAATTATTTTGGTGAAATGTCATAAAAACGTGTTTCTTTTAATGTTAAAACTGAATCGGATTAAATAAATGTGCATTTATTGTTTGCAATATTCAACATATCTTGTGTCATGGGACTATGTTTCTGTGTGTACAAGGTTGATTAATTACTCTCATTTTCACCGATAGATGTCGCTCGTCAAAAATACATTTTCTGCATTATGTAGCCGATCTGTTTTTTCTTAATGATCTATACACCAAATTGCCAGATGCCCGGAAGATTAAGAGAATTTGCAGAGGGAGAGATGATACTCTGAATGACACTGCTGATATTTCCGACATTAACTTTAGCATTAACAAAACAGTGTATTCTTTTGAGTCTGTCTCTTCCAAAATGCTCTATAACATTTTTATTGCTATAATACAAAATGCATTTGCTTTTAAACATCCAGAGGTAATAGCTTTAAATCTAGATAAGTCGGAAACTACAACATGTTTCTCAATCCCCAGATTTTCCACTCTAGATGGGAAGTTAAGGGAATTTCAGTATAAACTTTTACATAACATCATCTTTTGTAATGATAAATTGTATCTTTTTGGATTAACACAGTCAAATTTATGTTCCTTTTGTAGAAAAGAAGTAGAAACCTATCGTCATATCTTCTTTGAATGTTCTGAAGGGTCCAGAATATGGAATGAGATGGGAAACAGTTTAAAGATGTTTCAGTTTCTTAATATGCAATGGATTGATGTGTTGCTTGGTTTCAGAAAAAATATGAAAGATAATATATTGTTAAATCATGTATTGATTTTGGTCAAATATATGATTTACTGTAATCGTAAAAAAGGAAAGTTCCCATTTAGTAAAGAAATATGTAAGGCTGTAGAGAACTCAAAAAAAGTTGAACATGAAAAAGCAAAATTAAAGGACAAACTGCCAATACATTATCAAAAATGGGAAAATTTTATCCCTTAAGGCAGGGGAACTGATTGTATTATATTGTAATTCCTGTTTCCTGTTCACTCCCTCACTTTCTCATCGATCCGGACACTTACCTGCTATCGTGTTTGCTTTGTTGTTTATATTTTATATTTTTATTTTTTTAAATAACGGTATAGTTAAAGACCTCTATTGATACAAGACCCTTATATAGTTATAATAAAAAATGCACCATATCATTATATGTAAATATAACAAATTTTTTTATCATGGTTTATGAAGCAGCACCTTCACCTTATACTTTTTGTTTATATAAGAAAATCTTTGTTCAGATTGCTTAATTTATATTGAATTAATTAATTTGCTTATTATGTTGTAAAAATTGTTCCTTTGTATATTGTTGTATCCAAGTATTACTGTCACCTTTTCCTTTTTAAAGGAATTGGAGCATATTCTGTACACTTGTTTTAAATGTGTACTTTATTAGTTTGGATACTCATGGAAAATATTTTTTAAATATGTCTGTGTTTAAAATGTATGAGACAATGTACTACATGTATGTTTATACTGTAAGAACAATTGTGTTCCTATTCATCATTTTGTATAATTATGAAGATCTGAATAAAGGCAAAAAAGCTTTTTTTTTTTTTTTAAATAAAAAAAAATTACCTTGCAGAAAATGTTCATGTGAACATTTTTCAAGTTAAACATTTGACGGACGCAGAAGGTGATATAAAGGTGATATGAAGATGATATGAGATCAGGGGACTATTTCATAAGGAAAGGTCTTGAGGTAGACGATCGGTTCTTTCTTAATGATCTATACACCAAATTGCCAGCTGCCTGGAAGATTAAGAGAATTTGCAGAGGGAGAGATGATACTCTAATTGACACTGCTGATCTTTCCAACATTAACTTTAGCATTAACAAAACAGTGTATTCTTTTGAGTCTGTCTCTTCCAAAATGCTCTATAACATTTTTATTGCTATAATACAAGATGCATTTAAACATCCAGAGGTAACAGCTTTAAATCTAGATAAGTCGGAAACTACAACATGTTTCTCAATCCCTAGATTTTCCACTCTAGATGGGAAGTTAAGGGAATTTCAGTATAAACTTTTACATAACATCATCTTTTGTAATGATAAATTGTATCTTTTTGGATTAACACAGTCAAATTTATGTTCCTTTTGTAGAAAAGAAGTAGAAACCTATCGTAATATCTTCTTTGAATGTTCTGAAGGGTCCAGAATATGGAATGAGATGGGAAACAGTTTAAAGATGTTTCAGTTTCTTAATATGCAATGGATTGATGTGTTGCTTGGTTTCAGAAAAAATATGAAAGATAATATATTGTTAAATCATGTATTGATTTTGGTCAAATATATGATTAACAGTAATCGTAAAAAAGGAAAGTTCCCATCTAGTAAAGAAATATGTAAGGCTGTAGAGAACTCAAAAAAAGTTGAACATGAAAAAGCAAAATTAAAGGACAAACTGCCAATACATTATCAAAAATGGGAAAATTTTACCCCTTAAGGCAGGGGAACTGATTGTATAATTGTAATTCCTGTTTCCTGTTCACTCTCTCACTTTCTCATCGATCCGGACTCTTACCTGCTATCGTATTTGCTTGTTGTTTATATTTTATATTTTTATTTTTTTAAATAACGGTATAGTTAAAGACCTCCACTGATGCAAGACCCTTATAAATTTTTTTTTATAGTTATAATAAAAAATGCACCATATCATTATATGTAAATAAAACAAATTTTGTTATCATGGTTTATGAAGCAGCACCTTCACCTTATACTTTTTGATTATATAAGAAAATCTTTGTTCAGCTTGCTTAATTTATATTGAACTAATTAATTTGCTTATCATGTTGTAAAAATTGTTCCTTTGTATAATGTTGTATCCAAGTATTACCGTCACCTTTTCCTTTTAAAAGGAATTGGAGCACATTCTGTACACTTGTTTTGAATGTGTACTTTATTAGTTTGGATACGAATGGAAAATATTTTTTAAATATGTCTGTGTTTAAAATGTATGAGACAATGTACTACATGTATGTTTATACTGTAAGAACAATTGTGTTCCTATTCATCATTTTGTATAATTATGAAGATCTGAATAAAGGCAAAAAAGCTTTAAAAAAAAAAATTACCTGAAGGGTCCTGAATATGGAATGAGTTGGGAAACAATTTAAAGATGTTTCAGTTTCTTAATATGCAATGAATTGGTGTGTTGCTTGGTTTCAGAAAAAATATGAAAGATAATATATTGTAAAATCATGTATTGATTTTGGTCAAATATATGATTTACAGTAATCGTAAAAATGGAAAGTTCTGTAGAGAACTCAAATAAAGTTGAACATGAAAAACATGAAAAAGCAAAATTAAAGGACAAACTGCCAATACATTATCAAAAATGGGTAAAATTTTACCCCTGATCTTTTAATAATAATATTATTATAATACATACGATTTGTAAGGCGCCAAATGAGCAAGAGGCACATTCCCGTATAGCACATTAGGCGAGTCCCTTCCCCGGGACGACAGATAATTTGAAAACAAAAAGTTTTTATAAACTAACAGCTAAATAAAGAAAGGGTTTGCGATAAGATTTCATAATGACGAAAGTAAAGAAAAAAGAATGAAAGAAATTTCATCTTAAAGTTGCTTATAAATCGATAAGACACCATGGTCCAGATCAGTGGCGGATCCAGGGGGGGGGGGGGCCTTTGAGAAAAAAAAATCATGTAAAAACACGTGATTTATACCTTTTTGGGGGGTTGCCCCCCTGGCGCTCAAGGGGGGGGGTGCAAATTTTAAAATTTTGAGACCCCCCCCCAAAAATGTGCTCACTACCCCCCCCCCCCTGAGCGACTTTTCGGCCGGCGCGATTTTCAAATTTTCGGGAGCAAAAAACAAAAAGGTTGGGCCCCCTCCCCTAAGAAATCCTGAATCCGCGCCTGGTCCAGATATTTGGAATGCTTTACCTGACAATATTAAACTCTCCATCTCTTTATTCATTCAAAGTCTTGATGAAAAAATATTAAATATCTAAATATTCACAAATAATAATAATGGTCTCAGATGTTTTGATTGTTTGTTCATATAATTGTAGATGACCAGTTCATTAACAATACAAATCGAACACTTACTTCACCTGCACACACCCACTTGCACGCACTTGAAGTTTTTTCTTTCGTTCTTTACTTTCTTTCCACTTTTTATTTAGATATTTTCTGAACAAAATCTTTATACGTGACACTCTATTCTCCTACATACTCCTATTCCAGGCTGCTATCGACTCAAGCATTAAATGCTTATGATAGTTGGTCTCTGCATTTATCTTGATTATTTTACTTACCTCCATACTTTCAAGTTTTCAATTATATATATATATGTGCATTTTTATGTGTGTGTATTTAAGTTGTCACTCTTTATGTAAATCAATAATATTATATTATTGTTATTTGAATGTTTTATATTTGATTTATCAATAAATGCAGAAACATCTTTCGTTCTTTACTTTCTTTCCACTTTTTATTTAGATATTTTCTGAACAAAATCTTTATACGTGACACTCTATTCTCCTACATACTCCTATTCCAGGCTGCTATCGACTCAAGCATTAAATGCTTATGATAGTTGGTCTCTGCATTTATCTTGATTATTTTACTTACCTCCATACTTTCAAGTTTTCAATTATATATATATGTGCATTTTTATGTGTGTGTATTTAAGTTGTCACTCTTTATGTAAATCAATAATATTATATTATTGTTATTTGAATGTTTTATATTTGATTTATCAATAAATGCAGAAACATCTGTTAAAAAAAATCATAACGAAATCAACGGAAACACTGTTTCAGAGTTAAAAGGAAATTATTTTAAAAATCTTTATGCTCGAAAGTCACGGGCATCCTTAAAATGGATATCACTCGAAAAAAATGGTTTTCACTTCTATTGCCAATTTTGGAATGGTAAAAAACTAAATTCACAAACATATTTATGATACGATGTAAATAAATTCTGCTTATATTTCAGATTCAAGATTTAAAAAATGCTTTGTTTGTATCAACCAATGGCACTTTCGTGTTCAAATTAAGAAGAATTATAAATCAGGGATGGACCACGAAGCTCGGACAAGCAATTTAAAAAAATATAATAACATGTATGTTCAGTTCAGTTCAGTTTATTTTCATATTTCACATGTTGTATAATAAATTATTACATTTGGCATGTTACATTTTTTGTTGGTATTTAATATACAAACGAAGAGAATAAGAGGAAGAATATGATGGAGCCTAAAGAGAAAGCAATGCTTGTAGGTTATAGGCTCCGGAAGTTATAACATTGATATAGTCTTGTGTATAATAAATATTACATTTGGCATGTTACTTTTTTTTGTTGGTATTTCAGATACAAACGAAGAGAATAATAAGGAGAAATACGATAGACCCTAAAGAGACAGCAATGCTTGTACATGTAGGTGATAGGCTCCGGAAGTTATACCATTGATATAGTCTTGGGTATAATAAATAACGTAGTAGGATTAATCGACAATGACAATTCTCATTTGAGCGTACATTAATGCCGATGTTACGAGTAAAAAGAAAAATTAAGTGTAGCCGTGCTGGCAAACAAACTGGTTGGCAGTGACGACAAAATCTTTATATAACGGAACATACATGATAGAACATAACCTACATAGCATATAATTATAGTACAACTACCAGGCAACGATAAAATGATAAATGGTAACCATTTAATTATGCAGACAAAAATTAATATGCATTTAAGTGACAGCGGCTTGTATTCACTGGTAACGACGCTCTATAAATCAAATTATTACCATCATTCAAGATTAAGATTTTACTCGATTCAAGGTTACTATAGTATTAAAACGAATCCTTGCAGCTGGATGGCTAGATTGTTGCAATTATTTAAATCATTATCACTATCATCATCATCATCATCATCATCATCATCATCATTATATCATCATCATATCATCATCATCGTCATCATCATCATCATCATATTAAACGGAATAAAGGGGTTTCTAGCAAATGCAATAATTTGTTTTTGTAATTTGAAACTTTGTTATATCTTCAGACAGTGCTGTGCTGTCCCGGAGAGCAAGGAATCATCATCACGTTCGCCATAGATATTTATCGTCCCCCAGTAACAGACTTAGTTCCTTGTTTGGACCTTCATAAAAGTCTTCTAAAAGCTTTCTCGTCTTCGGAAGCATATCTCCAATCGCATGTAACCTGAACTTGTTGCCGTTCTGCAATTTCTTCTCGCAAAATTGCGCTATCGTCTTACCGGACTTTTTTTCTGCAAAGGAAATAGAGATAAAACATAGAAGATGAAAGTAAAATCTAATTGTGGAATATTCATTGGTGAATATTGTTATTAACAAAAATTACAATACCGGAAGCAAGTCATTGAAGGGGTGACGGTTCCAGTAACAGCGGGTGACTACTCCAGTAGCGGCGGGTCATTTATAGGGTGACGATTCCATCCAAGGTGATTTATTCGGTAGTGCCTCCAGTTTAGTCTTGTCATTAATAGGATGACAAATAAAGTCATCTTATGATGACGACTTCAGTGAAGGCAAGGCAATTTATAGGGTATGGAATTCAGTCCAAGCAAGTCATAGGATAACGACCTAATCAAATGACAGTCATTTATAATGTGACGACTTCATTCAAGGTGAGTCATTTTAGGGTGACGATCCTAATAAAGTCGAGTCATTTTAGGGTGACGACTCCTGTCAAGTCGAGTCATCGTATGGTGATGATTCCAGTCAAGTCACTGTAGGATGATGACTTCATTCAATACAAGTCAATTTAGGATGACGACTCCAGTCAAGTCAATTCACTTTCGGATGACGACTCCAATCAATACGAGTCATTTTAGGTGATGACTCCAATCAAGTCAATTCACTTTCGGATGACGACTCCAATCAATACGAGTCATTTAGGTGATGACTCCAATCAAGTCAATTCACTTTCGGACAACGACTCCAATCAATACGAGTCATTTTAGGTGATGACTCCAATCAAGTCAATTCACTTTCGGACAACGACTCCAATCAATACGAGTCATTTTAGGTCAATTCACTTTCGGATGACGACTCCAATCAATACGAGTCATTTTAGGTGATGACTCCAATCAAGTCAATTCACTTTCGGATGACGACTCCAATCAAGTCGAGTCATTTTAGGTGATGACTCCAATCAAGTCGAGTCACCCTAGGATGACGACTCTAGTTAAGGTGAGTCTTTTATAGGATGATATCTCCACTTAGGTCGAGTCATTTATAGGATGACAGGCAAGTTGATTGTTGAAGTCCGGGTCACATTTTACACACATTTTTATTCTACTATCAAGACCTTACTTTGGAAAACGTCTGATTTGCATATAGGCCTACCAGGCATCCTTCTCTAAAAAAAAAAATCACCACGAACAGAGAGAAAAGTAGCATGCTTACCCAGATTAAGAAAATCGAATACCTCTGGAAGGAGTCCTGTGCAATTGACATGCCAATCTTCCAATGTCATGATTTTGAGCTGATCACGTGGGTAGACCCTGAACCAATCACGAACGTAGACGGCGTAGAGGCCTACATAGGGCCGCTGTGTGGGTGAGAGATAATAATTATAAAGACAAACATATCGTACTTTGGATTATGTGGGTCATCTGACATTGGCTCGGCCTGGCTTAATTCGTTACAGGTATAGGGTTATGATTGTACTCGAGTTTCTGGTTAGGCTAAAGGGCAATCCAACCCTTGAGATATAACTTCAGGGGTATGAAAGCAAAAAAATAAGAGAATAAGAGAATGACGAAAGTCTGGATGAATCAGGCTAACAATAAGGGAGTTGTGCATGTTTGAAATGCGAGATCACTAGATCCATGCGAATCCCAAGTTGGTTTGTGCACCATATCGAAGAGAGAACAATATTAGAGAGAGGGAGAGAGAGAGAGAGAGAGGAAAAAGGGAAGGCAATAGGGACTTTTAGATTTGCACGACGGAGAACGTGGACTGCCCTTTTAAGGCAATGTGACGTCACTGCCAGTGCCTTAAAAGGACGTCACATTGCCTTAAAAGGGCAGTACACGTTCTCCGTTGGGCAAATCTAAAGTCCCTAATATAATAGTTTGCAGGCACAACCCTCGTCAGCCGTTGTGTGTAACAGTGCCTGCATTGTGAGACTATTCTGACGGGATAATGCTTAGGCTCTGTACTTTGGCCGCTCCAAACTGAAACAGCCAGTGACTGGCAGAGCTTAGCTCCGCTTAGGGCTCTAAGAATTTTCGTAATGTTTCATATTAGAGTCTGTGCTATCAGACTCCGCTAAATCGACCCTTGGGGGTGTTTCACAAACCTTCTAAGTCGAACTTAAAGGAGCTTCACTAAGAAAAATTCACTACAACTGATAATTAGAACAAATTACATATGGGTGGAAAGATTTTCTCTTGAAAAACACGAATAATTTGCTGAGAAATCATATCGATATCATCGAAAGGCGTAAAATGCAATTTTTCAAGACCCTTCTTAGACCCCCGAACGCCCCTGAACGTAAGCCAAACACACGAGCGTAGCGAGCTCTGAATAGTGACGTCACACCCTGGACAAACAGCTCAGTACCGGAGTCGCGCGTGTATTAGTATGCAGCTAGCCAGCCGTGTCCCGTGTATGACGTCACAAATATTGACGCTCTACAAAGGACTGCTGATGGCAGAAAATCTGGATCTCAAAACTAACATTTTTGAGAGTTGATTACGGCGGGCCCCAAACATATTTTGAAGAGGAGAGTTGTTGTATTTGATCAGTAAGGCTTCCCCTTCGCAATGATATGAGTTTTGCATCAATTCAAAACACTTTTGATTCTTCGTGTGTCTACTTTAACTCTAAGTTGTACTTAAATATTATGGAGAGCCATTTGTAGTCTTATAATGAAATATGATCAAAAGCAAAAATTCAAGTATTTTAGACTTTTCATAAATTCCACATCAAGAACAGAATAGAAAATATGAATGATTTGAATCAACATTTTATGCCTTTTAAAATAACTTTTACTAAATATTTTCAAGGATGCTAAAGGCTGTCCACAATTGTTAAGTCCAACTTAGGATCTTTGTGAAACACTTCCCTGGCTACAGGCGCGTACACAGGGGGGGGGGGGGGGGGGGGGTTTGGGGGTTAAACCCCCCCTTTGGTATTTTTATGTGTGTAACCCCCCCCCCCCCCATAACCCCCCAAACCCCCCCCCCCCTTTGGATTTTTTTATTTTTATTTTATTTTTTTAATTATTAAAAAAAAAAAAAAAAAAAATTCCCATGGCTGACCTAAAGAGGTGACCTTACCCCCCCCCCCAACGGAGCCAAATTGTCAAATTTCGAGACCAAAATAAAAATTAAAAAATGTGTCCTCTATCACCCCCCCCCCCCCCCCCCCCCCCCCCCCCGCTTATTCAGCGGTCGGCTGAGTCGTTGCGATTTTTTGGGGACCAAAAACAATACAAAAGTGTCCTTTTACCCCCCCCCCCCCCCCCCCCCCCCCCCGCTTATTCAGCGGCTGGCTGAGTCGTTGCGAAATTTTCGGCCCGATTTATAAATGTTAACCATCCCCCCTTTAAAAAATCCTGCGTACGCGCCTGCCTGGCTATGTACAAATATTACTAGAAGGGCCATATCTCACAGTAGGTGAAGGAAATTTGTTCTGAATCCGTTCCATGCTGTATGTGCATCCCCGAAAGCTCATCGTTTGCAGACACGTGTTGAATCTGTCTATCACTTCCACAATCGCTTTATGGAAACGATCCACACTGACTTTGTTTTTTCTGTTGAAATATAAGTAAGCGGAGTACAACCTGAAATGAAAACAAGGAACAAAATTGAGTCAAATTAAATCCAGTTCGCCTTATTTCACATTTCACCTTTCACGTTACACATCGTCGGTTTTCTGTACAAGAGATACGGTGATAAATTATTATTAATGTGAACATTTGCAATGCACTGTCTGTCAAAATTGACAGTTCTGGGGGGTGTTTCACAAAGATCTTAAGTTAAAATTATCTCTAAGTTGGACTTAAAGCCCCACTGCACTACTTGTAGCTACTTGCGCCCTCTATATAACAAACAATGCATAATCGGTGACCATTGGTCCCCCATGATCCTCTTTTTCTTATGTTAACTGAGAACTGAGTTGATGAGATAACCACCTGTCCAGTGTCCTTGCAGGGCGCTCTAATCCCTCCTGTAAACTATGGCGGATAACCTTTAACAATTATGGAAAGCCGTCAGCATCAATGAAAATATTTTGTAAAAGTTATTTTAAAAGGCATTTAGTATAGACCAGTTCTGGTAATGCGATTGCATTGTGAAAGAAACGTTGTGGAATCGATCAGAAAGGTTGATTATCTAGCATATAAGTATTGGTGTGTACTGCAAGGTTCTGGAATTATCAAAATGATAAGAAATTTGGCCTAGTCTTAGTAAAGTTACAAGCACTTATTTTGCATCATCATGACGTAACATTCAGCATGCGCACAAAATGATGATAGTTTATGATAGTTTATCAAATATATCAATTAGTAGTCGGTTTCCCGGCAAAATTTGTTTGTTTGGGGGGGGGGGGTCAAAAGCTGGTCTATACCTTTAAATGTTGATTCAAATCATTCTTATTTTCTATTATCAAGAAGATTTCATGATGTGGAATTTATAAAAAGTCTAAAATACTTTATTTTCGCTTTTGAATATATTGTTTTTTAGGCTAGCTCTCCATCATTTTAAAGTCCAACTTAGAGTTAAGTTTGACTTAGGATCTTTGTGAAACACCCCCCCCCGGTGCCATTGTGAGAAGAAGCCATAGACATGACTTGCAAATGAAGGACTCATTCCAAATGAAAATGAGGTTATTATTATAATGATGTTGATGGCCTTATCATTATTACTATTATAGACGTTATTATTATTATTTTTTATAATTCATGTAACCATTTTTATTTATGAATATAAATAATACCATTTTTTGTAATATTAATTTTATTTTATTTGTTATTGTTATAATTATTATTGTAATTATTCTTCTTCTTATTATTAGTATCATTATTATTTCTATTATCATCATTTCCATTATTTTCATTTAGGATTATTATTTAGGATTATTATTGACACCGATTTTATTACTACTATTATGATCGTTTCTATCATCATTGTCATTAATATCATTATTATCATTATTACAATAAATTATTGTTATTATAATATGTAATATTATTATTATCATTCTTATTGTTATTATGATAGATACCTATCTACAGGATTGCGAAGAATGACGATAAGCTTTGCGTCCGGTTGGGCTGCATTAATGACGTCAGCGGTGACGTATTTTGGACCTTCATAGCGTTTTCCATCCCATCTATCCCACGAATGGTTGTCCCAGAAGGTCGACGCGGATCCGTCACCTTTCATGTTTAAAAATATGATAATAATAAGAAGAGTAATATCAATAATAATAATAATAATAGCAATAATAATGATAATGATAATATCTATATTAATGATGATAACTATAAATTCAATAGTGAAATCATACTAATATTAATACTAATAACATGATATAAATAAATAGATAATAATATTAATAAAAATGATACTATTTCTACTACTACTACTACTACTCATAATAATAATAATGAAAGTTATGCAAGTTAATTAAATTAACCATTAGGAATGGTCCCGAAAGGATTGGAAGCCTGTATCACCAAGACCTTTCCCTATCTTATTATTCATTCAAGTAGACATCTATTTTCTAAATTTGTCTCATGTTCGAATATACACAGTGAAAATAATTTACAGGCGAAACATCTTTAAAAAGCACACGTTAAACGGTAAACAATAAAATAATGTCAATACACTTTACATACAAATTAAACATGGCCAAAAAATAATGAATAAGATTAAGAATGGGTGAAAAGAACTAGGAAAATACGAACATACACGCAAAGGACAGACACGGCACAGAACAAGAAGAAGTGACGAAATGTAGAAACCCATAGATCACATGTCATGCACAAGAAACTAAATATTTATTTCTTATATCTTGATTTTAAACAGCTCAGAGACAAAGATTCTGCAGGGGCGGATCTAGCTTTTTGCTAAGGGGGGGGGGGGTTGACCAAAATAATGACGATGCGGAGCATCGTCCACGAGCCGCGAAGCGGCGAGCCGATTTTTTGGGGGGTGTTTATTTGAACCCCGTAAGTGATGTTTTCCTGGCATCTATTAACACAATGGAGACCATAAAAAGCAGTGCATGATAACGTCTTTTTAAATCAAGTAACAGTTTAATACATAGTTATATCCAGAGTTATCATGTGTTTGGTTAAGTTACCAGATGAGTTGAATATCTTCTCACAATATTTGCACTTGAAAGGGTTTCTCTCCAGCGTGCGTTCTTTTTTCTTTCTTTTTTTCTTTTTTTTCTTCTTTTTTTTCCCTTTTTTTTTCCCTTTTTTTTGGTTTTTTTTTGGGCCGCCCAAGGGGGGGGGGGGTTGCAACCCCCCCAACCCCCCCCCCCCCCCTGGATCCGCCACTGTTCTGTAACATTTCATGATAAGCAGTTCCAGATTTTGGGGCAGGATATATTGATGGCAGTTTTAGTGAAACTCTGCCCTGAATTTCATTACACTTACCGATGATGAGTCGTGATTTCATAGATGGATGTAACTTGAACTGCTGTACCATCTTATTAGAACGGGATGCGTAGCCAGCGAGATTCCCTGTCGCTAGAAAAATTGAAAGCGATGTTGATGCACCACAAACAGATATTCACACAAGTAAATTGCAATTTTGAAGGAGTATGAACTGATGTGCAGAGAACGCATGATGAACCCAAAGTTCGAAGTAACTTGCAGCCCAAGTCCAGCTTTGGTGCGAATTGAGCCCCATTTTAAAGAATTATCAAAAAAATTCCATGATCAATGTCTTTTGAACAATTTTGGTTGAGAATGATTATGACTTTTTCTTTAATTCATTAATTGTCATCGTGGAATATTGTTGAGTTTAAAACCTGTCATGTTCTCTGTATACATGTCAACCCCCTACCCAGGGTACTCTTTAAAGACACACTTTACTACTTGGATCTACTTGCTCCAGGGGCGGTCGAGCGACTTCCAAAGTGGGGGGGCACCAACAAAAAGGGCACTTTCTGAAGAAAAAAGGGCACCTACAGTGGGAAATCTCAAAGCGAAAATATACAATTTTTTTGACATTGGTACATACCCCTGCATTGTGATTACATTATCAGGGATGATTTCAATATTTGTTTCTCTTCATACATCATACAAGATATCGCTTAAGCATCATACTTTACAGTTGGGTGGGATGTCTGAATATGCATTTACGAGCTAGCGAAGCGAGCGAGAAAATTTTTAAAGATCTGCGAGGTCGCAGTGCGAAAAATTACATCTTATAAAGAGGAAAAAAACCAATCGTGATGGGGTTATAAGCACATTCTCATAACGGAAGACTGAAAAGACCTTTGATAACTTACATAATTATATCATCTTTAAATGTGAGCCAGCGCAGCGAGCGAACTTTGGGGGAAATTGCTCTTAGTCGCTTTAAATAAGGGGCATGTTTAATGATTTCATGAAAAGGGGACAATTATCGAAAGGGATAAGACACTCATTAGAACAGAAAAGGAGCACGTGTCAAAGTACAAAGGATAATTATAAGAGGTGAACATGAGGCATTTTTTTCACCTGAAAAGAGGCACTCACCTGATGAAAAAGAGGCGTTTACGAAAATGGGAAATAGGCATTTGTTGACGGAAAAAGGGCACCCATCAGATTTTGATAGGGGCACTTATAAGAGGTGAAAAGAGGCACTGACCAGATATGAAAAGGGGCACTTATGAAAATGTAAAAGGGGCACTTATAATAAAGGAAAATGTGCATTTGTTGAATGAAAAGGGGGCACCGTTCAAATTTAAAAAAAGGGCCGTTATGAGAAGGGGAGGGAGCTTTTTCTTTTTAATGGGTGCACTTATCATAAGGAAAAGGGGCACTTATTAGAAAGGGAAAGCGGTAGTTATGAGAAGGGGAAGGAGCTCTCTCTTTTTAATGGTGGCACTTATCATAAGGAAAAGGGGCACTTATTAGAAAATAAAAGGGGCACATGTTAAAATTAAAGGTGTGCTCATCCGAGTTTAAAAAAGGGGTAGTTATTAAAAGGAGAAGGGGCACTTCTTACAAAGGAAAAAAGGGGCAGTTGTCAAAGTAAAGGAGCACCTCTCAGTTTTGAATAGGGCAATTATCAGAGGTGAAGGGGGCACTTATCAAAAGTGAAAAGGGGCACTTCTCGTACCTGAAAAGAGGCACTTACTAGAGATTAAAAAGGACACTTATTAAAGATAATTTCAAGATTTATGAGAATGGAAAATGGACACTTATTGCAAAGGAAAATGGGAACGTGTCGAAGGAAAAGGGGCACGTGTCAAAAATAAAAGGGCACTCGTCAGAGGTGAAAAGGGGGAAGGGGCACTTTTATTTAGTAATAGGGGCACTTGTCAAAGTAAAGGGGCACTTTTCCTATGTAAAAAGGGGCACTTTTGGGGTATCTGAAAAAGTGGGGGGGGGGGCACTGTGCCCCCCCTGCCCCCCCGGGAGAACCGCCTCTGACTTGCTCCCTCTATATAGAAAACAATGCCTAATCGGTGACCATTGGTCCCCCACGATCCTCTTTTTCTCATGTTAATTGAGAGCTGAGTTGTTGAGATAGCTACCTGTCAGTGACCACCCTGGGTGGTCTAATACCTCCTAGCCAAACCAGTACAGAGTACGGCGTTTAAAACTGTTTACAGCACCTGTTAAAGGGCCATTCTAACCAAAACGGGGCGGGGAGGAACTTAAACAATTCTCTTGTGATTCACCACAATGAACATAAATTTACGCATGAAATGTTCCATCATAGAAATGTATTATTTCGTTCGACATAATCAAAGAATATTAGGAGTTCAAGGCAGAAAAACAAAGTGCAAGCATTTCATAAAATATTTTTTTCTGTCTCTGAATTCTATGAGTTATTGACCACCCTATCACTTGATTCATCTGCATTCTTGGATTAGCTGTCATATTAATCTGCTTTAAAGATACTATGTCCCTTTTGCAGCCAACATCAAATTCCGTAGAATTTTGCAGGAATTATGAATATGTCATATATGTCCTATCTGTGAAATTTGAACGTTAGTAGTGTCCTAATATTTAAATTATGCAAGGAAACCCGTTTACTTGCTAGACTTCACTGTCAGGCACTATTGAGTGACTGACTGGATTTTTTTTTCTTCTTTGGTAATAACATACATAAAATGAGCTGTAAAGGGTACATGAGCATTTGTCTACACCAATAACCTACTTCTTGTAATGGCCAAAATTAAAATGATTGAATCTTTGCGCAGCATAAAACGTACAACCATGCGGCACAATGGTCTGAAAATCAAGACTATTACTTACTGGCTCGTTATTTTCCCACTTAAAGTTATTTTTAAGCCCCCCTTCTTTTAGGTAAGTTCTAAATTAGCATTATCTTTCAATTGCCGTTGGAATTTAACCTTTTCTTTTTTGTGCCTGCAAATGGGACATAGTACCTAATTTAAGGGCTTTTTGTTTTTATTTTAAAGCAGTTCAAGGAGTTCATGTGTGCTACTATAACGTTTTCTAGAATAAAAAAGTATGTACGTGTTTAGTAATTAAGATTGCGTAACACTTCCAGGAATTGAGGGGCACCAGCGTAATGAGGATGAGGGAGGTGGTGGTGGGGGGGGGGGGGGGGGGGGGGGGGGGGGGGAGTTATAACGTAGATGAACCAACAAAGTCGTGCATGGATTGAGGGGAGAATGTGAAAGCAGGTCGTATCATCATCAGGCCTAAACAAAAAGATGTCGTATTGCCCTTTGCGACCGTTGTCGGCGTTTTAAAAAAGTTTTCTTTTTTTTAACCGTTATATAGAGAAAAAATTGTTAAAGCATTCCAATTGAGATATAACAGCCTAAAGAGGGAGGGAACCTAAAAAGAAACAAAATTCCGACCGACCGAACCTTGTTTTGGCACGGAAAGGGCAATACAACATCTCTTTGCTTTAGGCCCCATCATCACCATCGTCAACATATTTCCATGTAGCCTTCACCACTAATTTTATCTCTCTCTCTACCCCTCTTCTAGCCCTCTTTAAATTTTTTGTTGTTGACCAATCAACGGGGGGAGGGGGTGGGGTGCTATCGTTTCTACACAAAATGTACAACTTTTCAATTCAATTTTAATTCAATAAACTATGTCCTTCGTAAAATCAAAACGAACATAATATCATGAAATACAAATTGAGACCAACAATAGACGTGGTGGAGGGAGGAAGGAGGAGAACTCACACAATCTAGCCCTAGTCCACCAGTGGGGCTCTTTTACGGTGTTTCTCACATCAGGATGCATGGTTATCTTCGACCACAAGTCGGTCGTTCCACACTTGGGCATTCCAAGTAGATAAAAATAGGGCCAGCATTTGAGTGCTCCCTTCAGCTTCCAGCACGCACTCTTATACCCTGGCAGATATGTCTTTGGTAGAGAATCAAATACCTGTCAAAAAAAACAGAGGAGATAACTACGTATACAATGATAACGCTCACAAATTATTGTTCACCTCTTCCCGGAACTCAACCTTCTCTTTAAGTTGCTGGCACTGAAGCTATTCCCCAATAGATGTCAAAAAACATTGGTAGCAAATCAAATACCTGTCAAAAAGGAAGAACGTTACCATTAAAGACTAAGTCCACTCCAAAAATAATTTGCTTTTAATAGATGCAGAAAAACAAGAGAAACAGAGCATTTTTTTTTTGGAGTAAAATCGGATAACTAATAAGGAAGTTTTGACTTCTCCCTGGGTTCTTGCATTATGTTGTATTATTACATTTTTATGTTTCTGATTTTTTTTCCCTTCAATTTATGATGTCATTTATGTTCTCATCTGATAAATTTGAGTTTCTCTTAATAAAGGCAGTGCAACTCGGGATCAGGTCTATAGTCAAGACATCAATTTATTTTCGTCTCCTTTTAAGTAGAATTCGCTGTTTATTTGAGAATAAGAGTTTATAAGTTAAGTTCAGCAGGAGTTAAGTATATTTGAGAGCAGAGTTTGAGAGAAGAAAAATCCAAACGTATACACATATATTTTGGTATTACAATTACAAACATGACAGCTACATTAAAGGGAGTGTATCATGACGAGTGTCTTTCCAGTGGGCCTACTCGGGGCCAATCGGGTTTAATACGACTACGGGCGATGCGACCGCAGCATTCACGTGCGTGCAACATAATATGCGAAACCGAAGCGTGAGGAGAACTTCGGTCTGTTTCGTGAACGCTAGCGCGCGCTGATCCAGTTAATCAAGTCCATTCGTTTACGTGCAGTTGTCCAAAAGAAGACGTAGATGGCGTTAATCAGTATTTGCCATGATACACTCCCTTTAAACTCCTCAGCCATGGAAGATAATGCAGAAATTAAATTCGGAGGAGTACATTTAAATGGTATATTTGAAACGCCTCGTTCTGGTTTTAGATGACAATGTGATTAGTCTCTTATATGTTGATACCTTCTGTAACACCCACTCTCGCTCTATCTTTCTCTCTCTTTCTTCGCTAATTGAATGTCTCACTCTTTCTGTCATCCACGTTCCTCTCTTCTCTTCCAATTATACCCCACCCTTTCCCATTAGTACATTATACCCTTCACGGTGTTCATCCAAACATGAAACCTATTCTTTCCTCTTCATTTTTGTTTCTTATAATTATCATATCCAAATGCTTTGTCTCAAAGAGCCATCTCTGTTCAACGTCCCCTCCTTCTCAAAATACCTTTATATAAAAGAAGGACAGAAATTGAAACTGAACGTAAGATTAAAGAAAAATATTTCACAAATGTATTTCACTCAGAGCGGTTGAACAAGCCTTAGTTCGACACAATTTAGAGAATAATTCGGTTGTTATATGAATTAACATGCATATATATATATATATATATATATATCTATGGAGAGATGGAGAGATAGAGAGAGAGAGAGACTTCATGCACTCACCAGTTTCCCCCTCTTGTACAAGCTTGGCGGCAAAGATGACAAATTCAACTCGGGCCGCCAGAAGTCGGACGGTCCGACGCTAGCCCTCTGCTGAACGTCGATGTTGTAAATTTTGATCCCCACCTTTCGTGTGTTGGCCGTTACGTTGTGCAAGTCATCGGTATTTTTCATCTTGGAGGGCTGAATGCCTAGCGTATTGGATGAAAACGTTTGTGAATATTCATTCTCTGTCGAAATTTATGTGTTTCAACGGCGTCAAAAAATAGAAATCTGTAATCCCTCACGCCCGGATATTTCTTGTAATTATTTAGGTGTGATAATAACATAATAAACATGGTAATGCAGCCCTTGGATGGTTCACAACATAAATGCAGTCATTAAATCAATTTAATGAATTCCAAAACTCGAAATAATTTTAAAAAATGAGGTTTTACAGTGCACTTTTAGAAAAAAATTAAACAAGTTGTTTAAAATTTTAAACAACCCCGAGTTAACCGGTGAATCGCTCAACGTTGTTTAAAAATTAAACAAATTAAGGTTGTTTACATTTTGAACACTTAGTTGTTTAAAAATTAGGAAACCTTTTAAACAACAGTTGTTTAGTAATAAAATTGCACAACTCGGTTGTTTAAAGCAAGTTATAATTGTTTAAATTTAAACAATAATGTTTAAATTACTAAGCAACTGTTGTTTATTCATTATTACTGCACAACTGGGTTGTTTAAAAGGAGTTGCTTAAATTTTAAACAGAACTGTTTAATGGTTATTATCTGGTTGTTTGAATTTGTGAAATGACCTACTGGAACCACTCCTGCAATAATCACAACGATTTATACACTGCAACATGCAGAGCTTGTTGCCAATTTACTTCAACATTTGTTCATCATATTCATGGCAGTGACAGACAACATTATTATTTGTCTCTATAACTTCACCTAAACCCCATCGGCGAAGCCGAGAAGAACCAAGTCGTCGCCTTGCCCTTGTTCCGCCATTTTCGTCTGCACTGCACTGCACTAGCACTTGCACTGCACACACTAGCACGTACGTACGTACTTTGTGCATATCGCATGTGTGTGCGCAAATAGCAATCGCGTATCGAGAAAATATCAACGACGCCCCCGGGACTTTTTAAAACAACTCTGTTTAATTAAATATTTTTGTCTTTTAATACATAGTTGTTTAAGTCAATCGAGCACTGATTTTTCGATTTTGAACAACGTTGTTTACTTTTTTAAACAACATTCTTTTAAACAGTGATATTTTAAACACCGTTCTAACAGTGTGCCATATATCCGAACAATCCTTTACTCTACCTGCTCAAACCAGGACAAACGTCAATTATTGCGGCAAAGGCATATCCAGGGCCTAGTCTTATAAAAGAGTTGCGATTGATTACAAGTGGTCTGAAATTTATACCAATCACACTTCCTACATCTCTTTATTGCGAATGATATCAATTGCAACGTATTTGTTATCAATCGTAACTGTTTTATAAGACGGGGCCCTGCTCTAGACAGCAGGAGGGGCAGATCGCGATCTGTCACATGTGAACCCAGGGGCGTACGCAGGGGGGGGGGGGGGTTTGGGGGTTCAAACCCCCCCTTTGGTATTTTTATGTGTGTAAACCCCCCTAAAAAAAACTAAAACTCCCCCCTTTGTTTTTGTTTTTGTTTTAATTAAAAAAAAAAAAAAAAAAACGTAAAGTGACCTTACCCCCCCCCCAACGAAAAAAATGTCAAATTTTCAAATTTCGAGACCAAAGAAAAAAAAAAGTGTCCGCTTACCCCCCCCCCCCCCCCCCCCCCCCCCCCCACTGAGCGACTTTTCGGTTGGCTGAGTCGTTGCGATTTTTTTTTGATTACCCCAAAAAAAAAAAAAGTGTCCGCTTACTGGTTTGAGCGATGACCGGAGCGTACCCTTTCTGCTCCTGGGCGTAGTAATACACGTAAGAAAATAACGCTATGTTCAGGAGGACAATACCAGCTGCCAATTTGTTTTGGATATACATCCTTAGAAAATGAAACGGCTAGAAAGAGATAATAACAAAAGGAACAAAAAACGAAAGTATAATGTCAGTAAAAATGATAATAATAATAAGAAAATAATGATAATAATAATGATAATAACAATTTGTTATAGTATATGAGTTTTCCTGTCTATTTGAACACTTTATTCAGTAAATTTTATACTATTAAAAATTCAATTTTGTCGCGAATCTTGCACATCTCATAGTCAATTTCCCCCAAAATACAATAACGAAAACAAATAAGCACAGCGAATTGTAAATGTATAGTCATATTCAAACCTTGTGTAAGAATATACATCTATGAAAGGCATTTAGCAATATGCTCTTAGATTTGAAAGAGTTTCCAGAATTAGTGTTTTTGATGTGAAGTAGTATATTATTCCATTAAAGGGGGTCCCTTGCATTTTATTGATTTAAAAATCAACCTGACAGTCAAGTCTACCTCCAATATCATATTCATGAATTGTTTATTTTTTTAAATGAAAATTGAGTTGAATAGTTTGGGTACAAAGCATTAAATAAAACCTAAATTGTAGATTTGGAGATTATAAACAGTAGTATTAAGTCTCTTAAAGATAGAGAGAGACAAATTACGAAATCAACTTTGACATAATTATGCACGATCCCGGAATCCTTGGACGAAAAGGGGAATTAAAATGAAAAAAGTGTTAAAACTGATAGGAAATCCGATAAGATGATTTTGATGGTTTTGAAGGTGATAAAGATGAATATCCATAGACCTACGCAGCTACGCCGTAAAAATAAATATTCATCCATAAATATAAAGCGATTTAAGCAATTATCCAAACTTTTGCTCCCTCGCTTCACTATGAGCTTAATAGTTCGACCTGCCCTCTGAAGACAAGCTTCTATTACATAGAAATGTCTCGTATTTCAAATTTACATTCTGGTTATATCAATCGGCGTATGCTAGCTATGTCTCTTTCACATCACATTTTGAATATCTTGCCCAGAATGCACATCGAAACAACCTCAGCAACATGTAATAGAATTCAACATTTCAGTGATAATCGAAATTAAGCATACCACCAAATACAAATGAATATAAAAAGCATGGCAATACATACGTGACCGTTGACTGGGGGCTGCGAGTTCCTTTCTTTTTTTCCCCAGCTGAATATAGGTCTTTACGCATCACTTTTGGCTATGCCGTCCAAGACATCCAACAAAAAATACTACTGCTGCTGCATGTACCAAATGTTTATGTTGTGTACATGGTAAAAAGTATACTATAGAATATTTTTCTTCTCGACTCAACAATATTGATTTTCCAGTCAATACTCATACGGAGAGAGTGAAAGGGGTCCGTTAGATGACTTTCGGGTTATGTAATCGTCAGGGCTATCAATAAAGAGAGTTTGATCAACAGCTAGGCTTCGAGTCTCGAGTAAAGCCGACACCGGAGGAGGCCGGCCTCAAGTCGCTTTTTCACGAGCTGACGTTGGGACCAGGCGCGGATCCAGGATTTCTTAGGGGTGGGGGCCCAAATTTGAAATTTAGTGTGCTGAAATGAGAAAATCGTGCCGGCCAATACTTCGCTCAGTGGGAGGGGGGTGGGGGTAGTGAGCACTAATTTTTGTTTGGCCCTCAAAAATTTAAAAAATCGTACCCCCCCCCAACCCTTGAACGCCGAGGGGGGGGGGGGGGGCATATCTATAAAAAAAAAAAAAAAAAAAAAAAAAAAAAAAATTAACGTGTTTTTACACGTTTTTTTCCCCAGGGCGTACCCCTCAGAAGCTCAGGGGTTTTATACATCAAATTATCCTTGGATGAGCATAATTTTAAACCTTATTTGTGAAACTGGCAGGTCACGAATTGGCTTGTGGTCCAGGGGCAGAGCCCCGGAAGCTCAGGGGTTTTGGGCAATGAATAACGGTCAGATGAGCATATTTTTATACCTTATTTGTGACACTGGCTGGTCACGAATTGGCGTGGGGTCCAGGGGTAGAGCCCTGGTAGCTCAGGGGTTTTGGGCAATGAATAACGGTCAGATGAGCATATTTTAATACCTTATTTGTGACACTGGCAGAACAAACATTGATGTTGGATCCAGAGGGCGGAGCCCCCAAAGGCTCAGGGGTTTTATACATTAAATTATCTTCAGATGTGCATATTTTATACCTTATTTGTGACACTGGCAGGTCACGACCTGGTGTTGGGTCCAGGGGGCGGAGTCCCCGGAAGTTCAGGGTTTTTTGGAAATAAATTACTGTCAGATGAGCATATTTTGATACCTTATTTGTGACACTGGCATGTCACGAATTGGAAAGCCATTAGCATCTTTGAAAATATTTTGTAAAAATTATTTTGAAAGGCATAAAATGTTGATTCAAATCATTCATGTTTTCTATCATCAAGGAGATTTCATGTTCTGGATGTGGAATTTATAAAAAGTATAAAATACTTGAATTTCTGCTTTTGAATATATTTCATTTTTAGGCTCCAATGGCTGTCCATAACTTTTAAGTCCAACTTAGTGTTAAGTTCTACTTAGGATCTTTGTGAAACACCCCCCTGGTGTGGTAGCAGGGCAAGGATCTATGATGGTGTTTGTTTGAGAAATATTCCCCATGGGATCCCATACAAAATCTTTACATTCACACACATCTTTAGGTCGATCAAGGATAGATGAACAACAAAATACAGGATATTCTTTTTTTGCCCAAATGTTTCACCATTTTGAACAAGTTTACTCCATGGAGGCAATCTCTTAGAATCTTGGTAGCAGTAAATACCCACAGCCAAGCTGCCAACAGAAGCCATACATTGCAGTGGCACCCAATCACCAACTGCATCATCATTGATACTGAATGTACAAGAGACATTACCAGGAGGATGATTGACATTTAACCTTATCCCAGTGAACCAAATTTCACCATACCTGTACGCGAAGCATAATCTTGTCACTTCTCTTTACTGGATTTATGTCAACCTGAACCGAACAATCATTATATGTCACACTGAACCTCTTCAATTGATAGAAGGACAAATTTAGAGATTCTGGCTCTGATGAACTGTAAAATGGAGCTCTGTGTGCGCTCTGTATAGTGACTTTATTACTGTCACATGGATATGGGAATTCAAGTTGCACGGCTTCATCCTCAGTAACCGTGACAAAAGAATCACTTTGCATCCGTGCAAAATAACTTCTTAATAAAGGTATCAGTGCAATAAAGATAACAATTAAAGATATAATTTCCTGCGACTTAACCATGTTGGCTGATAAAATACAGTGTACTAGTAGCTAATTTTGTCCGTTTATAAGCAAATGGGCTCTAACTGTGTGATAATGAATAGAGTTAATAGGGACTTTTAGATTCGCACCAAGACAATAGGTCTATGCTACGATCGACGTCCTTTTAATACACTGCCTTGAATGGACGTCACACGTATCAGTCCACGCAAATCTAAAAGTCCCTAATATCCTACTGGCTCTGAACAGATGATTTACAAGTAAGACAAATGTTGAAGGGGGATAAAGAAAATTTAAAAAATAAATAAAAAAGCTCATGAAAATATAGGTTTGTACAAGTTATGATGGATGCAAGATTCTGCTTCCTTTAGTACTGATTGCAGAAAACTTGGGTCGTAGTGAATACCGATATTTGATTATGATGTCAGAAAATTTGACACGAAAAAGAAACACATGTCATCAAAATACAAGTTTGTACAGTTACTCAGTGATAGAAAGTACTTCCTATTTTGTTTGTTTTTTACTTAAATTTCCTTCGTCAAGATAACAGTCAAATATAACGTGATTGTTTGTCTACAATTCGCTTTCCTTTTCCATTGTTGCTCTTCTCAGCATTCCAAAGTCAGATAAGGAGACTAAACTCTCGACGATTATTTCAGCCTTGCAACAATTGTTAGATGTTTAGCACTGCTAAATTAGAAAATCATATATTTCTAAAAGAAGCAAAGAATGAGACCCATATGCTGCTTATTGTTTGGTATCAGAGGTGTTCTGTTTAAAGCTGTAATTACAACATCAAACTACATGAAATTAAACAATTCTCTTTCCTTTTCCTGTGTACCAGTTGCTATTTTCACCATTCAAAAATAAGGAAGAAGACTTCCGGAGAATTCAAGCCTTGCAACAATTGTTAGATGTCTAGCACCGCTACTAAGTCATACACTTTTCAATCTACTGATTCTGCTGTGAAGTTCGAAATTCAATAAAGGTTCCTAATTGGTTGAGATTTCCATTAAATCCGTTGGCACCAATTCTCAAAGAAGTTTAAAAATTGACACCCTCTTGCAACTTATTGCTCAGTAGAGGAGAAGTTTGTTCAAATTTGTAATTGCAACTTCGAAATTGCGCCTTTATGTTCTTTCTAATCGTGAATCAGTTTGAAAGTTAGGATTTGCTGATGTATCGATGACCATCAAAATGAGAACCAGCTAGGTCATCATCCAGCAACACTTTGTTCCTAAGAAATTGAAAAATGTCCACTTTAAATGAAATCGCTACATAGATATACATGTACTCTCCCCACGCTGTATATGTGCGGAAAGATCTGATCTCCAATGATAATAGAGTATAAAAACATTTTAGAAATTTGTGGTCTATCAAATGTAAAATCAGCAAATTATTATCTCTTTTGTATCAGCTCTCCATTTGTTCTGAACTTCAAAATTTTTGAAAATATCCCTCTTGTTGGTTATTATTTAAGATATCTGCTTCATACTGAAAGATGTGTAAAGTTTTACTATTGATAATTTTCTTTCTTTTTTTTGTTTTTGAAAAATTACTTCTTTTATTTATATTTTTGAACGATCGGTGAGGAGAAATTCCTAAAAATTGATTTTGTTTTTGTATCCCTTCCCAAACTGAGCTCCCTCACTACCCCTGCCCCAAGAAAAAGACAATTGAGTAGGCCATGCTTTGAGCTTTGAGGTGTCCCAGCAGATGGCCTTTAATATTTCTTTATTTTTGTGCCGAGTGCTAGATTTGTTATATGGCAATCCCGCCAAGCCCAGAGTGGATAACCTGTGGCTCCTTACACTCAAAAGGGCATTTTCTATATCACTTTGCCTATAAGATGAATATCTTTGATGGTCAATCAAAACAATCTTATATGTGGTATAATCACCAAATCTATTTCTTCTCCAATTTTAATCAAACTTGATATCAATATTCATCAGCATCTGGTCACAGATTGTAGACAAATACTAAAATCTTACCTTCTTTACACACCTGTAGGCTGTAAAATCGGTAACGGGGAAAAGATATGCAAGCCCAAAGAGTGCTGTTGTTAATTCTCCATCATCACAAGCTGGTAACTAATTTGCAACTGATAAAAGTAGTTGTCGATCATCCAAGAACTTGACTTTTGGTTTGTACATGTCTTTTGTGATGTACAATATTAACGATTAACCGATATCAGTTCAAAGTTTTCTTAAAAATTGTCCAGTAAATCTCCCCAGCCAAGCTGCCAAGAGTATCTTAACATTGTCTGCAAATGATAACAGTAGGTGTCGCACATTCAAGGACTCGACTTTTGATGCAAGTAATCTTTCGTTCGTACATTAATGATTAATCCATATACGTTCAAAAATGTCTTTTTGTTATTCAGACAATGAATCTTATTTTTCACTCATTTATAGTTTGAAGAAATAAAAAAAAGTTAAATAAATGAACCAATATAAGAGCAAATTGCAAAATTATATCGCTAATTTGCAAGATTCTACATGATGAAAATAGTGGTTTTATATTTTACACCAAATTGCTAATTTAGAAAAAAATAATCATCAATTACACTTGAATCGCTTTTTTCAAAAAAAGCACAACTTAAGAAATATGCTCTAAATTCTTTGTGATTTTTGCTCTTTCTGTTCATGTATATTGTGTAATTCCTAACATTTTGTATCAAAAGAAAATGCAAAAATGTCACCAAAAAATTGACACTGTACTGGTTGTACTCAGTTCAAGACTTGCATTATTTGTCTTTGTTAAACTTCAAGCTTATTTAATACTAGTTGGCTAATCTCATTTTTTCCACACTCTAAAATAAACTGATGCAGAATTTAAGGGGTTAGAATAAATTTTAAATCGATTTCAAGCATAGACCTCATCCTGTCAGTCAACATTTACATTTGCCCTATCCTGGATTTTATGAAGCTCATCTCAATTTTATGTATCTATATATATATACATGTGCATGCACATCGAAATAAC